AGACCTTTAGTCCGGGGAACTAAGAGCCCATGTCCAAAAGCTGGCAAAGAGAGGCCAGAATGTGTCTGCAGCCGCCTTGTCCCTTCTCGTGCTTGCTGCATTCCAGCACCTGGAAGGGGCAAGAAAGAAGCCCCCCACCAACTTCCTGGAGAAAGCTGGGCCATTTGCAAGAGGCCTTGTGCATCCTGGGACTGCAGGCCTCTCACAAGGAAGAGGCTCTGGGTGGAGAGACACTGCCCGGCTCTGCCCAAGGGCCCTGGACAGTCTGTCCCCTGCCCTGGTCTGCCAGGAGTGTGCCCAGGAGCCTGCCATGGGGGGATGTGGGCCTGGAATGGGAGGAAGGGACGGAGCCTGGCATGGGTGGGGGCAGGCAGGCCATGGGCAGCGGGGACTGAGGAGCTGCTGGCCATGCTTCAGCCTCCACAAGGCTTTCCATGCAGCCCTGGAGGCTGGAGGCCGCTCCTGGGGGCAGGGGCCACGTTCACACGCCTGGGGCTCCCCCCGGGACCCTGGCTCCTCTGGGCATTCCCAGCATGCCACCTAACTGGCCCCTAAGCCCCAGAACCCACAGGCCCCAGGGCAGGAGCGAGTCCTAGGTGGAGAGTCTCAGCACAGAGTCCAGGAGCCCCACGCCCACCAGATCCTTCACCTTGCCCTTCTCTGGGGTTCTTCCTGCCAAGCAGCGTGGGGAACCTTGTGGGGGAGCCATGCCATCAGAAGGAGGTTCAGCACCCCCCAGAGCTCTGCAAAGTTCAGTCCCATCTTCCCTGCAGTAGGAGGGGCTAGGCCCACCTCCCTCCAGCCCCATGCCGCACAGCCCAGGACCCTCCCAGCTGCCGGGTGCTGGCCCGCTGACCTGCGGCCTGCTGCAGGTGAGTCACCCCCTCTGGTGTTTTCCAGACCTGCTTCTTGGCCTCCATCCTGGCCTCCTGGGTTCTCCAGGAGAGGGCGACCCTTCCCTGTGCCCCCAGGACTCCCCCGGCCTCAACTTGGGGAGGCCTCCCTGGAGACTCCCCAGCCTGGGCCTGGCAGACCGGAACTCCAGAAGCAGACAGCAGTGTACATGGGGAGGGAACGTCTCCCCAGCTGTGTACCACATAGTGGCTCACTGTGGGGCAGTCCCCTTGAGGGTGGATGTCCATGCCGCTTTCAGCCTTTGGCCCTCATGGCAGCACAGCAGGTGATGTGGACATGCCTCTCGATATGCGTAGGGTAAATTCCTGGAAGTCACTGCTGATCAGAATGGACCCCTGGCGTGTTGGTTCTCATCACCAAGTTGTCCTTTATGGAGGCGATGCCTCAAGAATCTTCCATGCCATGTCCCTCGACAAGGCGGTGTGGGTGGGTATCCGCGCCCTCACTCTCTCCTGCTCACAGTGCGTGCACCAGGGGCCTCACAAACACACCTGTCCCAGCGAGCTCTGTCCTTCCCACTGGGCTCTTCCCAGCCAGGCGGTTTCCATGCGGCCCCAACGCATGTTTCCTGTCCATGTCATGCCGGGAGCTCAGAGGGCGGGGGAGCTGGCCTTCTCCGGGGAGACCATGGGTGGTGTGTCGGGGCCCCAGAGTGGCAAGTGGATCACCCAGGAAGGCCTGCCCACCAGGGCGTTGGACAGAGCCCTGCCCAGGACGATCTGCAGGGGTCAGACGTGCCGGGGACACAAGTGCCAGGCTCAGCTTGGAGGGACGACAAGCGGCCGACAGCCCTCACCCTGTCCCTGCTGCCCACACCCCCTCCCTGGACCCCCCTGGCTCTCTTCCTGCTCATCACGGAACAGTTCAAGGCCCCTCTGCCCACTCATCCCACAACGACACCATTTCTGCACACCTGCTGCAGGCTCAGGCGCGGCCCGGCTCTTCCTGAGGTCCCAGGAGGAGCCAGGTCTAGGCCCTGAGACCGACTCGGCCAATCAAGCCCACTGACCCAGCCCTGGGCTCCAGCAGCCCTGGCGACCTGCATGCTTTCTTGGCACATGCCCAGGATCACCCAGGATTCTCGGCCTCCTGCCGTGGGTGTCGTGGTTCCTGTGGCTCCTGCAGTGAGTGCCATGGCTCTGGTCTCTGCTCTGGGTGCCATGGCTCCTGCTGGGGGCTGTGGCCAGTGGACAGGTGCAGCAGGACAGGAGAAGGGGAGTCTAAGTGTGTGTGGGACGTGGGTCTCAAGCCAGTCCTGTATCGGCCCCCAGGGTCGGCAGGCCAGGGTTTCATCCCTCCTGGAGGCATGTGTCATGCCGTGGTCAGAATCTGGCTCCAGCTCCTGGTCTGGGTGTGTGGGTACTCCCCTTCAAGGCGCCTCCCTCTAGCCCTCTTTCCCCCATCTACCTTTTCATGAAGAAAGGTAAGGATGTGTGGTCCCGTTGCCAGTCTCAAGCCCCACTTGCCGGGCATGGCACCCGGTGTGGGAGGACAGTAGAGCCAGCATGGCCCTGCCTCCGGAAGCCTTGTTCCCTGTGTGGAGCCTGGGGGACAAGGAGGACAGAGGGCTGGGCGGTTGGGGGTGCCAGAGGAGCAGCTGGGAAGTGACCTTTTGTGGGAGCTAGGATGGCAGGCCCCAGGATGGGAGAGCCACTCGGAACCCGGACCCTGGCTCCGGAGCTCGGGCCTTTGTCCTGTCTGCCGGGAGATCATGAAAGCCCAGTGACTCCGACTGTCTCTGTCTCTGTCTCTGTCTCTCACTCTCTCTCTCTCTCTGTAATCTCTGTCTATCTCTGTCTCTCTCTGTTTCTATCTCCCTCTCTCTCTCTCTCTGTCTTTATCTTTCTGTCTGTCTCTTTCTCCCTCTTACTCTCTCTGTATCACTCTCTCTTTGTCTCTCTTTCTTTGTCTCTCTGTCTCTATCTCTTTCTGTCTTTGTCTCTGTCTTTTTGTTTCTCTTTCTCTCCCTCTCTCCTCTGTCTTTCTCTCTCTATCTCTCTGTCTCTCTTATCTCTCTGTCTGTCTCTGTCTTTGTCTCTGCCTTTCTCTCTTCTGTGTCTGTCTCTCGGTCTCTGTATCTGTCTCTCTCTTTGTCTTTGTCTGTCTCTCTTTCTCTGCCTGCCTCTCTCTCTCTCTCTCTCTCTCTCTCTCTCTCTCCCCGCCCCCCCCCCCCCCGCCTCTCCCCATCCATCTCTGTCTCTGTCTCTCTGTCTCTCGCCTTCCTGTGTGCTCTGGAGGCAAGCCTGTGCAGACTTGACCCCTCCCACTGTGTGCCCCCTGCAGCCCTAGGCCAGGCCACACGTCTGGCAGTGCCCCCAGCGTCTGTTCTTTCCTCCCCAGCTGGCAGAACAGGCCTCTCCCAGTGTCCCACCACTCAAGGTGTTGCTCCGAATAAGCCCGGAATCCAGCCTGGCCCTGCTGCCTCCCTGACACCTGCTGGCCTCCTGCCAGGCCACAAGCCACCCTGAGCCCTCTGCCTGGACCACTCGTGGCTCCCTGACCATCCAGCCACTACCCCAGTACCCCAACATCCACCCAGCGTCATTTTTCCCAAAGTCACTCTTTGGATCACTGACTCATAGCAGTACACTCACACGGCAAGTGCAACACATGGTGTGTGCGGACACCGCAGAGCGGCCTGGCCAGGCACATCAGCACGCACTGCCACGACACTATCGGCTGCGCTTCTTGGCCCATGGGAAGACTTGCAGTTCGCCATCTTGCATCCAGCCCCGAGTAGTGAGCAGGTCTGGCCCGTCACAAGTGCTCAGCGGAGGCTGATGACATGGATGACACCAGCCCTATCCTTTCTCGGTAGATCAGCGTGGCCTCCCATCCCAGACCCCCAGTGTGGTTGTGGCTGTGGCTTCCTGCGTGTGGTGGCCGTGGTCTAACAATCCATTCAAACTCAAGGTCGTGGACGAGCAGGAGGTCTCTCCTGGGCCTGACGTGGTGTGTGGCACATTCGCTCACTCCACACACATAACTTGGCATCTGTCGGGAGCCTGCCGTCCGTCGTCCACGTCCCCATAGGCGAAGTCCCAGAATGCTCCCAGGACAGTGGCGGGTCTCCTCGTGTGAATGGAGGTGAACATCGGGGTTTCCTGGATTGGTGGCTGGAGGTGACTGTGTTCTCAGTGGCGCTGTGGGTCTGCCTTGTGGCAGAGCCACCTCTGTATAGTGCCTCCGAGGGGGCATGGTGGGAAGGTCGCTCCGGTCAGTCAGGCATGAGAGGGATGGTCAAGGCCGGAAGGGTCCGGGGCACCTGGCTGGGAAGCCAGGCTGTCCCCACGAGCAGAGCCACAAGGCCTCACATCGGCAAGCTGGGAGGGGCCGGGGCATCCTGAGACACTTGGGGGGGACTGGCAGGACCTGGGGTCTCTGGGCTGTGGGGAGGAGGGAGGGAGGCGACTGGACTGGGTGGCATTAGCAGGCGCTGCTTCCAGGCAGGAGTGGCATCACAGCGTCACCCCAGAAGGAGCCAGCGACTTGGGCAGGCCATGGAGGCCAGCCCGACATGGGTCCTTGGGTGGCCATGACAGCACGGCCGGAGGGGCCGATGGAGGGGAGCAGGCGGACGAAGTTGGGAAGCAGAACGCAGGGAGTGCTTCACGGGCTGGAGAGACTTGACCCAGCGGCCAGTGGGGGGACGCCTGAGCCCCTTAGGCCTCACCCAGAGAGGGCTTCACGCAGCTGGTGGCCAGCACAGCGGCATCCACTGGGCCTGAGGGAGGCTGAATCAGAGCCACGCAGGCATCGCTGAGGACAGGGAGAATAGCCCCTCCCGCGCAGCTGGGGAGCCCCACAGCGGTGTGGCCCCTGCGGAAAGTGGGCTGGCAGGTGCTCCAAGGCTGGACGTAGCGTTGCCACCAGCAGCCCCGCACGAGGTGTCAGCCCTGAGAATGGCTCTGGTCGACACTTGGAGGTGTTTGTCGGGAGGTCCGTTAGGCCTGGGACTTCAGGGAGAAGGCAGGGGCCTGGGGGGCCACGGGCACCTCAGGGCTGCAGGGAGGAGGGCAGGAAGCCGCGGGAGTCTGGGGCTGGCCGCAGGCGGCCCTCTCACAGTGGTCTCCGCCCTCCCACAGCTCCTGCAATCTCAGGACGTGAAGGAAGATGCCGTCCTGTGCTGCTCCATGGAGGTAAGGATGGCCCGACGGCCCCACCCTCGGTCCAGGCCTTTGGCCTTAGCGACTTGACCAGTCCAGGGAAGGGTGGAGAGTGGACTCGAGAGTGGGTGTGGAAATCTGCGTCAGCACCCCCAGCCTTGTAGATCCCAGCCTCGCCCACACTCCCCACACCCGAGACCGGTCTCTCAGACCATGCGTGACTCTGCACGGCCCCACCCCAGGCCCCCCTCTGCCCACGGCCCACCCGAACAGCTCTGCGGAGGGGCCGCTCTGGTCCCCAACCCCAAGAGAAGGCAAGAGCAAGGGAGGAGGCAGCATCACCGCCCTCCCTCCAGCCCGACTTGTGCAGAAGTCTTGCCTCTTCACCCCTGAGGCTCCCAGCGGTGGCCGCAACAGGCTGCCCTGAGCACCCACGGGAGCAGACCCAGGTGCATCGAGGGTGCAGGCGTGCTCAGGCTTCCTGCAGGAGGGCAGGCTCCTGGTGTGAGGGACACACAGCAGGTGCCCCAGGCGCCCTCAGCCTCAGCAGCAGGGAACGCCACTGGGTTCGGCCGGCCAGCAGCATCCTACGTGCTGCCTCCCTCCCCGCTAGAGACCCATGTGTTACCCGAGAGCCCAGCTCTTCCCTGCCCGCCCCGGGGTAGCCGGGGTGCTGAGGCCGAGCCCCGGGCTGATGGGCACCCCTCCTGCAGCTGCAGAGCACAGGCCGGCTGCTGGAGGAGCAGCTGCCCGAGATGATGGCTGAGCTGCTGGCCAGCGCGCGCGACAAGATGCTGTGCCCCTCAGAGTCCACGCTGACCCGGTCGCTGCTCTTGGAGGTCATCGAGCTGCACGCCAACAGCTGGAACCCCCTGACGCCCCCCATCACGCAGTACTACAACAGAACCATCCAGAAACTGACGGCGTGACAGCCTGGGGGCCTGGCAGGCGGCCCGCGGGGCCAGATGGACAGGCAGGAGGACGGGGCAGCCCTGGCAGGCAGGGGCCCCAGGCAGAGGGCGGGCAGAGTTGCGGGTCTGGAGCCAGTCGGGGCAGGGGTGGACTCCCAGGCAGAGCCCCGCACCCGCGCCTGCGCGCCCGCCTGCGCCTGGGGAAGCATGCCTCCTCCTCCCGGTGGCCCGGCCCTTCGCTCCGCCCCCCACGCA